TACAGCAGGGAAGAACTGCAGAATATAATGTCATACAGATATTTTTTATATATATTTTTTTTTTGTCCATCAATGGTGGCAATCAGTAGGAAGAGACCAATTTATATGACAGATTTTCATGTAGGCATTTATTCATATGTAAACATTGTTTAATTACCATTATAACTAGCTATCACACAAAGTTTGGCTCACTCAGTGTATTTTTGATTTTACAGTGGGGTCATTTTGTTGCAGTAGCACGAGATAGCTTGATTTCAAACTTTCGAGTAAAAAATGACAAGTCAGCAGTCAGTAATAAAATAAGAACAAATAAAGAAATTACTAATGATAGCAGAAATAAAAAATAATGATATGCCTACAAATGAATTAAATTGATTTTTAGTTTTTCAGGTAGGTCTAACAGTAGGACTATTAAGAGATTTATTTTTTTATTTTATTTTTTTTTCATATCGCGATTTGATTTAAGTGCAATGATGTCCTTTTGCTTAATTCATCCAAACTTTGACAAATTCTGTGATATTCCACGTTAAACTGTACATTTTTGTTCTGTATTTGTTCTGGATTCTTCTGAAATCATTATGACCAGCAATGAATGGAGAATATCACATCATGTTGGACCTTGTGATTTGTCTTTCACTGTAGTTTGACTGAAAACTACACTTTTTTATAGCACATACTCTACATACACATTTTGCATCAGTTTTAGTTCTTGTAAGCCACGCTTAGCTTATCTACTGCTCTTCTGTTTTTCTGATTCTGATGCAGGATTGTGAGGACAGTGTAAAGACAGGAATATGTAGATGAGCTCAAAATATTAGAGAATAAATCACATTGAGAGTAAATAAGACAGCTCTGCTATTTGTCATTTACACTTAAATGACATAAAAACAGTGTTATAAATGTTGAAGAAGAGTACAGAAAGACAGTCAATTATGAAGAAGACTCTAAATTCATTAGTCAGTCTAATATTTCCTTAAATGCAGGATTTAAAATACATCAATTATAACTAGATGTTTGATTGTACAATGATAAAAATCTTAATTTCAGCTCTAAATAAGAGGTAAAGTGCTGCTTTGTCTTTTTCAAACCCACATAAGTTTATGAGTTACAGTCTCAGTTTTTCTCTTTTAACAGACGTTAGATTCAAAACTATTTAAATCTTAAATGACAGATTGTGAAAAGCACAAATATCTAGATCACAGCAACCTGTAAAACTGAACAGAACATGAACATAACTGGCCATTTTCTATTTGTATGAAGAAACTGAAAGTTCATTAACATTAAATGAGTTCTGAACTAATTCAATGAATCATAGATTTCATATATCCTAATTATTCATCATAACCTACAGCTAACTGAACGAAATCATTCAATCTGAATTCATAGCTATTGCTGTAATGAAAGAAATGTAATGAAATTTCTTCAAATACAAATATATAATTCTGTCATATAATAATTATTACCTTTCAGATGTATATGTTTGGCTTGGAGTATTTGATATGATTTGTCTGTCATTATTCAACTAACCCTTCAGAGTTCAGAAATGTTGAAGAGCGAGGTGAAAGGAGAAGACTGAGCATTATCTGCAGCAGAGGGAGAATATGAAGAAACAGCAGCTTTTAGTTTGTGAGAGATCTGCTGTTAGAAGGAAGAAGGAGAAAGCAGGTGTGTTTGTGCTTCACGTTCCTGTCCAGTTGGTGGCGCTGATGCACGAGATCTGTTGTTAACTGGACTTTGCTTTTCTCCAAGATGGAGTCGTGTCAGGTGACAAACATCAATCGTGAAGAGCGCACAGGTGTTTAACCGCGATCACAAACCGAAAGTGTTTTCAAGACTTCTGGATTCTGTTCCTGCAGCACAAGATCGTCTGTGCTACTGCGAGTAAGTCTGAATACTTTCACTATATTACAGTTATTTAGGAGAATGATGAACGGGTTTCATAGCTGTAGGTGTGATTTGTGAAGTTATAACTTAATAATTCAATTACAACCTTAGATCCCCACTGACAGATGTAATAACCTCTGATCGATGTATACTACTTTACATTTGAAGTGGATGAAAACCTTTATTCAAAGTTGACGTAAAACCAAAGTGTTATGCACTACTGACTTTGCCCTATGCAGATAGTTCATGGACATTTCACTGTGTTGCCATTATATGTTCTGAGATTGCATATCAACAACCTGAAATACAATGCATTCTTTCCTTTATGTCCGCAGGTCTACTTCCGAGCTTGAGTCATTTCCAGAGGCGGACAGTAACTAAGTACATTTACTTGAGTATTGTACTTAAGTACACTTTTTGAGTATCGGTACTTTACTTGAGTATTATTTTTTCTGGGAACTTATGACTTTAACTTCACTACATTTGAAAGACAAATATTGTGCTTTTCACTCCACTACATTTCTATCAAGGTCCTCGAAGTAGAAAGTCATTACTATGTAGCAGCTTTGAAAGTCAGTGGGTGATTTTTTTATTCTCTAAAATGTGACTTTCTTTTTTTTTCAGACAGTTTATCGGTAATCACTCTTGTAGGGCCACATGAAGAGATTTCCCAGCATTTTTTGAACACTGACCAGTTCCA